AAAGCGGAATCTCTGCAAATATTGAACATGTCGTGCGCACTGCTCCGTAACATGTCGTTTCGTGAATATCCTCGGTGTAAGATCGCTTTGCTGTTAGTGACTCTCAGGATGTAGCGACGATCAGCTCGGTTCTGTTTGATGCACAGAGGATTGGGGCTCAGCCATTCCGCCTCATTCACAGAATATTAGATTGGCTCTAATAACGAACTGATCTTAGCGATAATATCTTCGGGTATACATTCTCTGAAAGTTCAAGCGTGAATGTTTTCTTCACATACGGCAAGCGTTACCTTATCGGTAATATTCACACGGGAACCATAAAACATGAAAACGCTCTCAGTTTTATTTTGAGACCAAATGCCAGTTATAGGTCAAACCATAATTAAGTCATAACAATATATGGGAGAACTCTGAATATGAAGCTGTTCTAAAAATTTTCTGAAATTGAAGAAACCGTTAACGCAGTTCCTATGAGGAGTAGAAGGATAACGCCAAGAACGCCGTATTGTATAACGCCTGAGAAGCGTTAGAGCCCGAAAAGTTTTCTAAAGACGCCACAATGCATTAAAACTTTACATACATTATAGACGTTTATAAGAATAACGCATTCGAACGTCTTCACTTCACATGGATAACTACAGAGAACGCGTTAAAAATCTCAAGTGGTGTAAAGCCTTAAAATGTGTCAAAAGAAGGTTTTTAAGGCCTTAAAGACGAAAAAGAAAATTTTAATGCCTGCGAAGGACCTGCGAGGGTCCAAAATTTCTTCCTGGGTAGCTGGATAAGCCGTATGTTTATCGACAATTAAAAACACTTTCTCCTAATAAGAAAATGATAAATGTGAATTACGTAAAAATGATAAACAATTACGGTTAAAAATTCTTTTGTTGGTTAATGTAGTTCCTTGCGGTATTCGATCTAGATTTATGGTCAATCAAATATCTTTATGAGACTTTTCGGATTTTTGACGCTTAGCGTTATTTGCGACGCTAAAATATCAAAAATCAGGCTCAATTAGCCTCTAATCACATGTGTTTTCGTCATTTTAAGACCTTCTCGAGCTCCGCAGGATCGTACGTTACCGAGAAATCTTGCCGCTACGAACAGCTCATTTTGACCCCTAACAGAGCGACATCTCTGAAACAATAATAGATGTCTTCCAATTTTACGGAAAGATCAAGAAATCATAAGATCCACATTGTTCAAAAGTTACATTGAAATCGAACTCACGATTACCGAGATGCAATTCTAACGGAGAGAGGGGGAAGGGCTTAATTACAGTAAAAGATGTCTTTTAAGCAGTAGGTATAATTTGAAAAAAAAAATAGCTTTTTCATTGTCTTGTGAAAAAAAGCACGCCGCGTGAATAACTGTGTTCATTCATTACTTATGTATCGAATCAATAATTTCTATAAAACTAATTTTTGCATAATAGCAGCACTCATTTTTAGTTAATTAAAAGATTATTTTTAAGAACAAAACGAAATACACTACTCTGTAAAAAGAATTAGAATTTTCTTCTATTTTCTGTTTTCTTGTTTCTTTACTTCACACACCGTTATCCATTCATCTACACTCGCCTGTTCTCAGTCATTATGGGGTAAATTTAATTCCACTGTTTCACATGAGACAATCAATGATACTGACCGCCGTGATCCAATTTCGATGATGAAATGGAGAGAGACTCTTTCGATCTTCGATTGTATCCCGTTATACTACTTTCCAGTTTTTCTCATCTATTCTGTGACTAGTGTCGTCGGCATGTGTTTTATAATACTAATTTTCTCGTATAGAATTGAAACCATCATCAAATAACAGTCGATCTGCCACACTCATCTCTTTGACTCGAGTGCCGCCGCTAAAACGGCATCATGCTTCAATGTGATGAAAGTTGATAATCAGTTGTATGAACAGACTGATGATGTTAGCCTCGATGATCCATTAAAGAGTACAATGGCTGGTATATTCATGATTCACCTTCAAGAGTCTCTGCACGATGATTTATACAGAAATGGACTGAGATTATAACGTAGATACGTGAATGTTACTTTTACAATGGTACATCTGAATGCACGATTTTCATTCAAGTATTGAATTTATTATTTGTATGCGAATTGAAATAAATAACACTCTATCTTTTCTTGATATTCATATGCTAAGGACAGCTACTGGTATTTGACAACTGTTTTTTGAAAAAGTATATTCACCAATCTCATTATGAACTGGAGCTTGCTGTCGTGCAAACAGTCTATTATTACGGGTGTGATCTATCGAGTTGTTATGATTTGCTTCTTGTATCAATTGCTTAATAATGAATTAAACAAGATTTGAAACATAGTAGATCAAAATGGTTATCCTAGATCGTTTACTGATAAATTAATTATCATTAAGTTAGGAATAACCAGAAAAATGATATTGTTAGCGATAACGATAGAGATAAAGTCCATGACAAGTAGCGAATATTCGTTGAGGCTCCGTACATCGAAAATGGTTCAGAAACCCACGTCGTCTATTTTTAAGGAAAATCGTTAGTTAACTGTGGTTCTCTAAATAACCGCCACTTGACCGTGGTTCGCTATAAATCGTCAATTAACCACGGTTAATCGTTGATATTTTTGATACCACGGTCATGATACCACCGCCGGTAATCATACCGCGGTTTGAAAAATTAACCGTCAATTAACTGCCTTATTCCGGAGAACCGACGATTAGCCGTTTCTTTTCCAATCACCGTTTTGTTTTGTGGTCACTATATGTATATAAGAACAACATGATTTATCGAAAAACTTCAGACGACTTAGTCTAAATATCTTTCAGACTGCGTCTAAGCGTCATGGCAAGCTGATAGGTACTGCTCAGTCCAGAATTTCACCGGTATGGGACTGTGATTAACAGACAGCTTTACTGCTATGGAACACATGAAAGTTCAACACTCAAAGGAAAAGTGAAAAAATGGTCAGAGGAGGATTTGTACTGATATCGCTTGCTCAGCAAAAAAGCCGTCAATTAACCGCGGTTAAGCATTTTGTGCCGGTTCGCGGTTAATTGTGGTTGACCTTGATGAGTTCTACTAGTCCTGGAAGCGCCAGACGATCAGCATAAAGTATGACTTTAAAGTAGAGAAAAGATGCTTTTAGAACGTATCGGACACAGGTCACTGTATGAGAATGAGACCATATCAAGATGTCGAGTTTGTTTTAAATCAAAGAAAAATGTGGGCTCTGTTTATGTAAAAAATTTATTCTCTTTATCTTGAATGGTTGCCGGGATAATGGTGGTGACGGTGCATTTTTCCACCATGGTTATGGTGGTACCATGGTTAACGGTGGTAACCACTGGGATGTGTTGCAAAACAACACAAACTTGTCAATATAAGAAATGTTGCATTTTTCAAAAGTGAATCGAAATTTTAAAATGCGTGTTTCACAGCAACGGAACAATATTTTTTCAAACGGAAGACGCCATTTTACTCAGGAATGCCTGCACTCTTTTATGACTGGTTTGAACGAGGTCTGTGACATACATGTGAGCAGTGTTCTACGTAACTCAGTCGTCGCTTATATGAGATGACTGATAACTAATTTTCTGTATAACAATTATGTGCAACCACTCTATGTCGTGCGTAAAAAACGTTTATACAGGTAATTAAAACATACAACTTCTGACCTGATGTTTCACAATCCCAAAGTATTGTTCGCTTTATTTATTGGCCTTTATTCAAAGTGAAATACATCACAGTAATTAAAATACGAAGAGTGTTACAGTGTTCGTTGTGTACAAGAAAATATAAACAGGATGAAAAACACAGAGCCGTGGTTTTCATTGTTGAATGACGGCTTATAATTATTTTTGAGAACTACTAGTGCCTGAGCTTCCTCCACCTTGACCGCCACTTGTTCCTCCCACACCTAATCCAGTACTAGAATGTTGAGCTGATGTGCTAGTGTTTCCACCTGATGTTGAACCCAGTTCTTCGGCTAGACTTGTGCCTGATGTGCCGCCTAATCCAGGCGTTCTCTCCGTGGTATCACTATCCATACTCTTGTCTGATCTCGCTTTCTCTGGAACCGCTGAGGCCATTTTATTATTTAATATTCAATAAGAGTTAACCGTTTTTCGAAAAAAGAATGTATTGCTGTTACGGTGAGAATGAGAAAAAAAGTAACTCTTTTCTTTTATATATTTTATCTTGGTAAAAGCTGGCACATGGTATATAAAATTACATTCTTTTCTTCTTTTTCAAGGTAAAATCTATATCGAGAAGAACAATAGTACACAGAAAAAGAAAACCATACTATATTATTCAGCAAACGGGAGAGAAGTTTAACAAATTACATCGTATCTTTTTTTTCTGCATCGCGTATAGAATTTCATATGCAGAATTAATTTTTTTTTGCTTCTTTTAACTTAAGAAACTGTACAACTCTTCTAAACAGTCATCTCTTGTAGATGGCTTACTTCATGTGAAGCAAATTCATTCCGTTCTTCTTCGTTTTTCCTTTGTCTACATCTCTACATCTTAGACGAGAATATGAAGACAGAATGTACGCTACAGATCATGCACTTTGACCTTCAAGTACACATCAAAAATACTGTAAAGTTGAGCCTTCACTCTAAAAAGCGTCTTTCTACAAGCTTTAAAACGCACTATCATTTGCACTGGACTACATTCTCAGGTTAAAAATCTTGAGCACAGAACATTCTTTTTCGGATATTTCAAGCTCTGAATTAGACTATTTGAATCTGAAGAGATCATGGTTCAAAATTGTCGACTATTTTATTTTCAGAATCCTCAGATCGTGAAATAATAGAATTTTTAGACTTTTTAGAGCATTTCTATCGATCAGAACTCTGCCAAATCTTTTATTTGTTTTATATCTTGAGAGCTTCTGAAACTTCAAACAGGTGACTCTAGCAACCTAAGTAAATGAAAGGGGTATCGTTAACGGCAGGTGTAATGTTCCGTAAACATGACGTTGACGTACCGTTTTTACACCGTTCATACTGTTTTTTTCTCGCTTTATGGTGTAAAAACGGATCGTTTTCGGATTTATTTACCTATTGTTTCTTCAACGTTAAGACCCCTGAGCGGAAACAAAAAAATTTTTTGTAAAAGAAGTCGACATTGAGCTGAACACATCATCCGATAACCCATGCTGTCTACTATCAGGATCTAAAGCGTTTCGTCTCTCTCGAAGGAGTATGAAGCTTATTAGAAAGTTTTCTGAAAGCCTTAAAAAACCAACTTTTTGAAAAATGTCATCTTTTTGAAAAAAAGACGCATCCAGAAATATTTTCAATGACACTAGGATGTAGAGTAAACATTTCTGATCAAACTAACACATCGCCCCGCTTAGGATGATGTTCTAATCAAAAGCTGTGAGAGTTTCGCTAACCTAAAATAGACATCAGACGCTAGCGCCATTGTATCTCTAAAGCGATGATCCACCTTGGCAGCGTTTTCTGGCTGCAAGGTTTCTCGATAACGAAACTTTGTGAAGAGCTCCACAAGGTTTTAAAATGACGAAAACACATGTGAGTAGAGGCTTATAGAGCTCGATTTTTGATATTCGGTCTAGATTTATGGTCAGTCAGCGGCGATTTATGGTCAGAGCGGCGTCTCTGAAACGGTGATACTTGGATGACTTCAAAATTTTCTCGCTCAGAGATCTAAGAAAAACGTGAGAGAAACTAGTTGAATTTTATACCATTAGATTCAGATTTTCATCTAGATCATGAACATAAACTTTATTTTGAATAAGAATCCTATGGTAATTAAAAACTCACGTTATTTATTTTCACCATTCTGAACTATATATAAAAAGAAAAGGCCATTTTTTCTTTTCTTCCCCATACAGTGAATGTCCACGTGATCTCATGTGCTTGTTTTATGCACGATTTATTCAATCTTTCAAATATCCACAGATCGGTACAAAGTAGCCGTCAAAACATATGCTCAAAATGTTTGTAATATAAACTTTGTATATACTTAGAATTTTAAGCTCTATCCGAATCTCAACGCTTCAGGAGGCGGAAATGTACTCCCGGGGAGATATACGCGCTTTAATGAAATTTTGACAGATATTAAAATCTATTTTTTAACTTAACGATAAAATATTAGAATTTTATTCAAAGTTCAGTCGGTAGAGCACATAAAACTCCCTATGCTTACAAAATGCTGAGTTCTCGAGTAACCTTCATGATTTTTTTGTTATTTTAACGAATTTTAGCAAGAACTCATTTTTTTCCCGTTATTATTATGTAAAAAAAGATTTCGGACCATTTTCTGCAAGGTAGAAATTTGCAGTGGAATAAAATTTATACGTTCAGAATGTTTTGTTGTTCCGAAGGAATTACTTTCTGAAAAAAGACGATGAAGTGGATCATTCAGTAACTGTGTTAGGATTGTATCGAAGAACTACAATAATACCCTTTATAGTTAACCGACTTCTGACTACAGTAAAACCTCCAAAGTGAACACTTTTGAAAAGTCCCGATGGAGTTCACAATAGAGAGTTATACTATAAATTAATAAGTTTCAGAAGGTGTTATGAGATTTTTTCTGTCTGAAAGTCAAAAGATATATGATATAAATGCCGTTTCTGGAGTCCTTCAGAAATCGTTTCTTTGTGCACATCTTTACACTTTGCACAAATATCTGATTTTTAAGATTTTCTTTTGATTTTCAATTTTGTTTGTCGTTCGATTTTGTTAAAACTAAAATTATCAGTTTCAGAAAAAGAATTTCTAGAACAATAGTCTAACTAATTCTACATTGAAAGAGGACGCGGTGTGCTTATCGAATGTTCTCATCACAAGATGAGATTAGTGAACTTCTAAACCCATCGGATCAAAATCTTCTTCCTCAGTCCGTACTGCGGTCCGTGATAAATGATAGTTTCAGCAAAAATATTTCAAAAGAAATTTTTTTTAAAAAATCATGTTGTTGAAAAGTTCTTGGACCTTTTGCTTTGCTTGTCCAAGAAAAAAACTATCCGATCATCTCCTGTTTCTCTGCCGGTAACGAAAAAAACTCTCACGTGTCTTATATGAAGGATAAAACTCTCTAGATACTTAGAAGGGAAGCGAAATGCTCGTACATTTTCAGCTTTTTTTCTTCGTTGAATTCTATCTAAATATAAGTTCAACATCTTTAATTTCTTTATTTTCTATCGTCCATATTGTTTCTTCCTCTACATTTTTTTCTCCACAACATTTTTCCCGATTCTTCTTCTAACCGTCATTATCGGCTATTATTTTCCGTTAAGAGAAGCCACCGTTTTTTCCTTTCACTATGTATCAATCACTAGTGAACGACGACCTTAACGAATGACTCCTCTTTCCTATCTGAATGGGTCCGTATATATCAGATATATAATCTTTATATACGACGTTAAAAAAAGATAAAGGGCTATACGCTAAACCTCTAATAGGTCAATCGATACAAAATATATCTGTTCCGACGATTCATGAATCAGAGAATTACCAAGACTGGTGAACATATATAAAAAAATAATCTGTGTCCAAGTGTATATAAAGGCAGTCGAAAGAAGAGAATATCGAACATTTCATGATGACTGCAGTAAAGTTTCTTCTACTCCTCAGCATTATACACGTCGCATTCAGTTACCGTGAACGTAAGTATTTTAATATGCAACTGATGTTACCTGACTGTCTATTGCCAGATGTATAGAACTATGTCTGAATATCAATACGCATAAATAGTATCTCTACACTTCAGCAGTGTATCTTCAATTATTTGCTTGGTTAAAGATCAATGTTTGTGTTTATATACTCAAATCATCAAATATTTTTCAATGTGAGAACAAAGTAAACGTTTTGATGTTTAAATAATATGAAGGTGTAGCACTAAGTGGTCAATTTTTTTATTAGCAAATTCAAAGTCACTATTATGATGATAGTGACTTCGAATTTGAAAACGAGTTGCTAGAAAGTCGAACCTAACCTTTCATCGTTTGGCTAATACATTTTGGTCTCACAGTAATATTCCTTATTCATTCAAGTGTCGAAATATAGAATAATCTGTTCAATTTAGTGCCAGAAGACGACCTACTTGTTCTTGATTGTTCTGCTTTTATTAATAATAGGAACGACAAAAACTGGCTTGTGCACAGCCACTGTTCAAACGACATCTGACAATTGCGATCGAGGATTCCTGTCTACCAATCCTAAATGTTTGAGTTCTCAAGTGTATATTCGTGACTCGCCATATCTCAATTGTGATAAAGTCGAATTCATGTGGAATTACCCAATGAATAATTTGACAGTTTACATCGAAACACAATACACTACAAGGAAAGAGCCATTCATTATTCATGTCGACAATCGGATTCTGCAATCAGATGAGAAATATCAAGTTATTTTGAAATATCATAAGCCAAATCAAATGCTTACTTATGGACTAGTAATTAGTTATCAAGTTGAAAAGTTGTAAATAAATAGATGGTAAACTAAAAAAAATTGTAAATATAAAGTGTGTCAAAATAAAATAATTCGATGTGTAGAGTATCATGATGCATTAAACCTAATAAAGTATCGCGAAGCAGTAATCCTAGAAATCATAGCAGAGTGTGCAAGAAAGCTTTAAATTAAAACAAATAATTCAAGTAGACCTTATTGTATATGCGTTTAAGATAACTAAATGTCTAAACTTTTCAGAAATACCATATTAATCTCATGTATGAAGTTGAAAATCAGATGGATCGATCCTTGATGATTGAATAGTATTAATTAAAGAATTAACTGTAATTTTTTTCACAAGGGAACCTACCCAGGTGATACAAAGCGTTTCTTGTTAAACGTAGCTTTTACGATGCTGATCACGAATAGGTTGCTCGTTTAGGCCATTACGTGTTGCTTATTAGCCCAGACTATCGATGACCTCGTCACTTGTTGAAGGATCAGTCATCATTTTCAGTTGCAGGGACTTTGTGGAATATCTTTTCTGGTACTAGTACAAACAGTTTTAGGATATCTGTGGGCCATGAAGTAGTCATGTATTGCGAGCGGTACTCGAAGAAATTTGAAAAGTTTCTGTTGGGAAAGAGTCGTTTTCTGTTGGGGAGTAGAAGTATTTTTGCATAGGGGTACGAATTACACACTATTATACGTTCGAAAATACAAACATTTTGAGCATATGTTTTGACGGCTACTTTGTACCGATCTGTGGATATTTGAAAGATTGAATAAATCGTGCATAAAACAAGCACATGAGATCACGTGGACATTCACTGTATGGGGAAGAAAAGAAAAAATGGCCTTTTCTTTTTATATATAGTTCAGAATGGTGAAAATAAATAACGTGAGTTTTTAATTACCATAGGATTCTTATTCAAAATAAAGTTTATGTTCATGATCTAGATGAAAATCTGAATCTAATGGTATAAAATTCAACTAGTTTCTCTCACGTTTTTCTTAGATCTCTGAGCGAGAAAATTTTGAAGTCATCCAAGTATCACCGTTTCAGAGACGCCGCTCAATGAGGGGTCAAAATGGGTCTCTTCGTAGCTGCAAGATTTTTCGATGACGTAAGTTCCCGTAGCACTGAAAAAATTGTCTGTTCCTTTTGTATAAGGTGAGGAAAACGCCGGATCGGCTGATATTGTCCATCTTTTTAGCTCAGATAACTTTCAATAATTACGTGAAATGAGCGAAGTACCGTGTTTCAGAATATGAGAAAGAAAATGTAAAAGTCTCAATAGGCCTTTAGCATCAAATGTAAATGTTAAAACTTTGGTCATAAAGAGACATTTTACATTTTAAATGTAAAATGTCCCTTTATGACCAAAGTTTTAACATTTACATTTGTTGCCACAGGCCTAATAAATATTTCGAGCAAACTATTCATGAACTGTCTAAGCTATAGCTGAATTACGTGACTTTCTTCTCAATTACTCAAAGCAGAACATTGCTTTTGGTATTTTTCTCTTTCGAGCAATAAATCTAATGTTTATTTCTTTCTTTTTCAATTTTTTCACATTTTCTAACGTCTTTTATACGTCAAGCTCATGCCATGCTCCCGCTGTTCCTTCAATTTTATTACTTTCGATTTTTTCTGCAAAATTTTCAATAAAAAATCTGCTACAAAAAATCGTTCTCCCGAGTACACTTTACATCGTTTTACGTTCTTTTTAAGCTATTCAAAGGGCCACTTCAGGGTCTTAACATAGTGTCATTTGGCTGCGAATTATTTTAAGGCCTTATGTTAGCTCTTAGTAGGATCTATAAATGAACTTTTAAATGCCTGTTAATTGACATTTTTTACGCCTTAGGAAAAAACGACTTAAAAGCGGTGTATTTATAGCCAGTATTCTAGTGAAAATTCGATTGTCCAAAACATCATTTTAACGTTATTTTTAGACTTTAATAGAAACGGTCTATTTAAGGCTATAAAACGAGTTCATTAAAATGACCAGAAAATGATCTAAAAAGAGTCTTTAAAAAGAGTTTTTGAGACTTTGCAGACTCTTTTAAACAAACACTTAAGAACAGCTATAGTAGCGGAATGAGACAATAAATGACCTACTGCAATTATTAATGAATAGTAACAGTAATTAGTATAGGTTAACGGTCATGGGGAAAAAAGTGCTTCCTTTGGTGTTTTTTTGGTCGATTTTTTGCAGGCCCATCTTAAATATATTGCAAAAGAATAGCATTTGATAATTACCCATTCAAAATAACTTTGGGCTTGATATGTTCAAAGTACACTTCGGCTACACTAGCGATTAATCGCTAATGTAGTCGAAGGGCATTTTGAAAAATCGACGGAATCCGTTGCAGCGATATTAGTTGGCCGTTAGATCATTAATGTCAATGCTATTCAAACGTTTACTAATTATAAAATCTTATAAATTTCTTTAGCTCAATTAAGAAAAAGCTTAACGATAAAGGACACTTTTAACGGGCTTTTAACAGACTATTTTTAGGTCGTGTTTAAAAAAATGTAAAAATAAGCCCTTCATTGTCAGTCACTATCTCATAAAATAAATGATCGTAGAAAAGCCATAAAAATGACCGTTTATGACGTTGTTAACGGACCGTTTATACGCCGTTTTCAAGTCGTTTTTTCATTGACTGAAAAACGGCTAGTTAAAGAGATCTTTTTTTCGTCTTTTTTACCCTTTTAATGGTCTTTAAATAGGCCGTTTTTAGGATGACTTTAAATTGCTCATTAACTGGCCATGAATGGCTCATGTTTTTCGACCAAGGTATGTCCCATTTTTCAAACGTAAGTCAAAATTTTAAAATGCTCCTTCTAGCAACCAAGCAATATTTTTTTGAAACGGAAAACGCCATTTTACTGAGAAATGTCTATATTTTGTTTTATGACTGTTTGAACGAGTTCTGCGACACACGTTTGAGTAGTGTTTGTTTTGTTTTATGACTGTTTTAGCAGAGTGCGGAAGAAAGCTTTAAATGAAATAAAATAATTCAAGTAGAACTTATTCTATATGATTTTAAGAGAACTAAATGCCCAAACGTTTTAGAAATACCATATTGATTTCATGTATGATGTTGGAAACCAGATGGATCGATCCTTGATGATGAAAAAGTGTTTTAACGTTAATTAAAGTTTTAACATTAATTGTAATTCTGGTCATAAGGAAATCTATCCAGGTGATGCTTTTGTTAAACGTAGCTTTTACGATGCTGATTACGAATCGGTTGTTCGTTTAGGCTGTTACTAATTTGTATATAGGTCTTTCAAACGTGCTGTGCTTATTAGGCGAGACTATCGATGACCCCAGGCACATGTGTCACGTGGTAAATGATGAGTCATCATTTTTCCAGTTGCAGGGCTATTTCTGGAATGTCTTTTCTGGGTAGGAGTACAGATATTTTTAGGATATCTATGGATCATGATGTAGTCATGTATTGCGAGCGGTACTGGAAGAAATTTGAAACTTTTAAGTTTAAAAGGTCGCTGAGCTTGTAAATGGGTCTTTCAAAACATGGTCGCTAGAAATTCATCGCGAATCATCAAACTGAGAGACTCTGGTCATATCACTTTGTAGAGCTGATCGAGTTCCACATGCAGAAACATTTTCCTAGCTATTGGGTAAGCTTTGACGGAGCTACAAAAGCTCTATTATTAAAAAGGCTCAGAAGCTCGAGGTTTTCACTGTACTAAGCAGCAAAATGTGTGTGGTTCCGTCATCATTTTTTGAATGCTTTTCTGTACGGGAGTAGAAAGATTTTTCGGATGGTTTTGCCTCACCATGTAGTCAAGGAATCACTGTACAGGGGTACGAAAAGAGAACCTGAGCGGAAAATCAGATTTTTGAATATTAGAACTTGATTTCCGATAATAAAAAAGGTTTTTCGTCAAAAAGGGGCGTTATAATCATGCACAGAGTGAATAAGTGCTTTTAACGATGACTCATTCGACCTTCAACAAAAGTTTTACTTTTATCTACTGGTGTTTTGCTCACTAAACGCCTGAGCGAACACAAAAGATATTTTCACTTTTTGTACCTCTATACAGTAATGACTTGACTACGTGATGATAAATGTTTCTACTCCCGTACAGAAAAGATGTTTCAAAAATAGCGCCAAAATCGTTTTTTCAAAAAAAGGTTTTGAAAGACCCATATAGAAAGCCAGTAAGAGAGACTGAACAAGCGCCAGATTCGTGATGAGGATCTTAATTTGTCATGAAAATTCATGTTTAACAGGAAAAGGTTTGTATTACTAAAAACTATATTTGTAGGTCACAGAGACTAGTAAACAGAATGAGAATAATATATTTGAGTCGCATTTTTCTAATTAAGTTAGGTTCTTGTAATCAACTCATATCTTTGTGTTCAATGTTGTGTAATATGAAGTTTTCGAAGCATTAAGGTCTTTTCCTAAAAGGTATACGTTAATCGTTTATGAAACTCGTTTAACGAGCGCTAAAGAACACGAATGGCATTTGTCGTCACGGTAGCTAATTCAACGCAGCTAAAATTTCTTGTTGTGCCTTATCTGATAACAAAAATTGAGCATGTTTAAATTTTGAAAATATCTTAACGTTCACTTGTTGATCTTGATCTTTCTTTGTTTTTAAATAATTCTCAACCAATTGAGCCGGTACAAGATCATCTAATTCCGAAAGAAATACAAATGATTCTTGTATCGCTTTTAAATCTTTTACATAAATAATATTTTCATACCAATAAAAATTTCGTTGCAAAGTATTAGCAATAAACAAGTCACATGAACAAAATGCATAAATCATGAATTGATTGGGTGTACGTGGTCGATGACGATACAAAAAATTATAGGGCATTATTGCATGATATAATAAGAAGCATACAGGATCTAAAAAGATTGTTTTCTCACTCAATAATTCTCGTCCATGTCTAATTAAATATGCTTGTACACATGTCCCATAACTATGACCAACAATCGTTAACTTTTGTTTAATTAAATCATTTTTTAAAAGTAATTCTTCTAATGATTTTAAGATTGTAGCCATTGGATTAATCGTAAAACAATGACGCATACTAACATAAGGTAAATCTAATAGAATAAGTGTTCGTCTTGTAGAATAATGTAATCGTCTGATAAATGCCATATAAGCTGTTAGACCAGTACTTACTCCATGAATAAAGAGAATAGATGGTTGTTTTGATTGTGATTTATAAATCCAAAATGAAACATTATTAATTACAATATGTTTATATCCTAAATATCTTAAATAACAACAACCTAATTGATGTAATAACCATGTGATTGTATAATATATAAATGGAAAATGTGCATATTTAATTGGATCTGCTAAAGGTGACATAAGTTTAATTTTAGAATTATATCCTTTTTTTATTTGATGTTTTGAAAATAATAGTTGAAATAAATGTTGTATATATTGTCGTTCTTCTTTAGTTAAATCTTTAGGATGAGTTGTATAGGTAACAAATGAAAGATATTCTACAATATTATCTTCATAAATTTCATTAAAATCAACATTATAAAACCAACCAGATACAATTGTTTTCAATTCATCTTGTTGATTCAACAACTGCTCTTGAAAAGGAATCATCCATTATAGATGCCACAGTTTCAAATCAGATAGAGTACAGAATATGGGGAAAAAGTGTCCATAATAAATGACTCTTAATCATTTGGTAGATTTGATGATTTAAAAGTTTTTAATTGTAGTTGACGAGAAAGATACAGGATATAGAAGTAAAAGACGATTTCAATTAAACAGTAAATAGATAAGAAAGATAACTGAAAAGTGGATACAATTAGAAGAGAATAGACTAAATATAAACAACAAATGAATAATACGGATCTAAATAATAAATATATTGTATAAGTTGAAAATATAATTTCAAAACCGTGGACATTTTTTATAGAATATTTTTTATATAAATATAATGGTAAGACGAGCAAGAGCATGAAAATAAATGCAAGACTATGTATAATTGTAAACATTTTGTTCTAATTACAATGGTTTTCGTCTAATAATGGTAAGTTTAACTATAGGTACATATGAAAATGATCAGGTGATTATATCATGTGTTATTTTTCTTAAATAAAATAGGTAATGTGACACGTAGATGTGTACATGTCTGCATGGCGATAATGGGGAAGAAAAATTCTCTTTTCTCTTACGTACAACACGCGTGTATTTTTACCTTTTCAAAGAATCATGCAACGTTGAAACGGAAAGATTGTTCTTGAAATTCTTGTTTGTGTTGCTCATTTGGTTTTTCAACTCAAAAGTTTCAAATGTAACACGATATTGTGATTACGTAAATCTTTGTTTAACAGTGCTTTCGCAAACGTTCCGGACTGTATGCATGATCAAACACTATTATACGTTCGAAAATACAAAGCCCCTGATTGTGTTTTTTAATATGTTAAGAAATTTAAACAATTTCGAAGACCGGTTTGAGATCTGTGGAAAACCAGTGAGGTTCTGTGAAAACTGATGTAGAAATCTATGGAATTCCTAGAAATTCATAACTCACAAGGGAACCTCTCCAGGTGATAAAACGCTTTTTGATCGAAATCTAGTGGGTTATAGGTTATCGACCGTGCTAATTCCGAATATGATTATGGGAGCTGCCCTTAACCGTACGAAGATCCGGTTTTCTGGAAAACCAGGTTTTCAGAAACTCTAAAAGATAACCAAAACTTTTCTTAATGAAGCATGATTCTAGATCCCAAATTTCTGATTAAAATGAGATATCTCCCAGCTCTACACGACCTTTCTTTGCAAAGTTATAGAATTTACAAGAAAAGCCCTAAATTATAGCTTTGAATTCACAATGAACAATGAACAAAACGGAATCTTCGTACGGTTAAGGGCAGCTCCCATAATCATATTCGGAATTAGCATGGTCGATAACCTATAACCCACTAGATTTCGATCAAAAAGCGTTTTATCACCTCGAGAGGTTCCCCCGTCAGTCAAAATTCATTCAACGTGCGTCAGAATGTCAGGAAATACTCGATTTTGTAAAGTTCAATAAAAGTTAAAAATAGCAAAGAAAATACTTTGGTTTCTGTTAATTATGAAGTTTTGCTGTTTATGAAAATAATCAAAAATAGGTTATTTCACCTAACATATCACCGGACTTTGAAATTTTCAAATGCGATTAGAGTCCGGGGGAAAGCGATATTCGGAATCAGCGTAATCGATTGTCTATGGGTCTATGATTTTTATCTCGGGGTACTTCCGAAAATTAACTTCGGGGGCCTAAGAAAAAATTCGGAAAAAACGCGCTAACACGGATTTGAACCTCGATACGGCCTCATCATAGACAGTGATTTTGACCATTGTGCCATCAGCGCTCTTCGATAAGTAAATGCATTTTGTACTGTAGGTGTTGCTGTTTGCTACTGATAAACTTTCGAATACCTAAACATTGACTTTTAAGAAGTTTTAGAACAAAAGAAATATGTTTTTCTCAGTATTGTCTAGGGGACAGAGTGCGATAAAATAAGTCTTTAAAAGATGTTTTCGGGATCTAATTTCTATTTCCAAAATTAATTTGGCATTTTTTTCTAAAGCGGTTGCTAGCGGTTGCGATCGGATCTCGAGATGTACTTTCCACCCATGTCCTGCAGAAAGTTTATATCTGCACAAGATCTGTCAAGTTTCTTGATCTCAAAGAATATTCAACAACTCTTGTCAAGATCTTATCAAGTTTTTTTAAGGAATCTGCCTGCAAAAATCTTGAGAAAGATCTTGACAAGATTTGAAACTTTTTCTGTAATTAACAGAATCTTTGCTAACAAAGAAAGTTAGCAATCATTTTGATTACAATATAACTGAGAGGTTCGACAAAAATGTAAATATGCCAACTTTGCGTTTATGTATAGTTACCATAGAGCTACGGTGTAGAGGACTTCTGCTCTGTTAGTCGAGAGAGTAGGCAAATAAAGTGAAAGTATGGTCATTCTTCCTTTTGACATGTGTATGAGGCGTTATATTTTACTAGAGCCTTGAACAAGAAAAAAAAGAAATGTCAAAAGTTAGAAGGAAAACAAAGCACAACATTTACAACAACTGTTACATTTTTCTGGATCCTGCTTCTCTCACTCTAGCTCCTTCAAATAAATTTTCTCGGTTTGTAAAAAGTTTTGTCTAAACCGTTCGAATGTCAACTACTACCACGCCATCTCTTACATCAATGACACAGCAAGTCACTTCTCCATCTTCACAAACGAGTTCTTCTTTTCATTCTACTTTAACAAACCGTTCAGCAGTTGAAAGAAAAAGAAGGTCAAATCTGTGATTTATGTTCAAAATTTAACCAAAAGATCACGTTACTGCAGACCGAAAAGTTGACTGAAATTTGTCTTTGTGTTAACTCCGGAGAAGATAAAAAGCATGAAATGTGAGAGAATAATGATATACCTATAGACAAGCAGAAAGGAAATATCAGGTGGTTATCAGAATGTATAAAGCATTTTTTTAAAACAAATTTTGTGAAATCTGCAATTTTGCTGTTTGCTTATTTCTCTTTGCCTCACATAAAACTTTCATTTATTTCTTTAATGCGTCTTACGAATAGACGAAAGGAAAAAAGAAAGAAATCTGAAATGAATGAAAGTGAAAGTTTCGCCTTAGCATTGTTTTTTCGTAAGAACATATGTCATGCTATATATCAAACGCAACAATGAAAGAAAACTATGCTAATTAGACACAAGACAAAAAGAACGAAGAAATATAACGTTATTCTTTCATCTCATCTCTATACAGAACATTGAAAATTTTGAAAGTGAAACTCAAATATTGTGTTTGAATTTATGGTTGCTCGTGCACTTTCAACAGCTCTGGTACTGTATGCATAGTACCGTTGAGCTTACACTGTAGTGATACAGTAGAAAAAATAAAAATATAAAGTAGAAAATAAAGTTTAAGATTTTCTTTCAAATTCCCAAATCTGTTAATGAAGATTCTGATTATTGCATATTAAATTAATCATTTCAGAATTCTTGAAATATCTTGACAAGATCTGCTCAAGTTTTATCACGACAGATTCTGATACCCTAGAGATCAAATCTTATATAAGATTCCTATAGGAATCTTACAGAATATCTGCAAGAATCTTATAAGAATCTTATAAGGCAGTCGATGGAAATGCGTAATTTATGTATAAGAATCTTATATAA